GAGCAAGGCATAGGATATCCAACCAAAACATGAGGTGCCTAATTAAGTGGAACAAATTGAACTGTGGGGACTATCAGGTAGGTTCGAAGCCGGTCACTTTTCTTGCCTTCGTGTTCTTCGTAAATTATCATTAGGCATGATGTCCTGCTCTGGCGATGTCCGTCACACAACGGACGAAAACTCAGCAGCGTTTCATCGGGTCGTAATGCGGTGCGCAGTGGACCTATTCACTCAAATATACAATCATAGTTCCAAAGCAATGCTCCCAAAGGTTTCGGTGGAACAAACTTACGAATCCCTTCCATTTGCCTCTTCAAACGAAATGAAAGTTATTTCAATATTAATGAGACTTTCCAGTATCTGGGCAGTGAATTAGGATATTCCAACACAATGTGCCAACATCATCATTGCCCCAAGCCAGCCTGAGCAACTAATTTTATTTGGTGAAAGAAACAAGAACAGTTCATCTCTTTACCAACTTTCTGCCGAACGATTGTAATACCAATCCTACTTATGACATACTACCCCTACCAGATGATAGGAGAGCCTACATGTCACTTCCAGCGGAAAAACTACTTACTTTAATTAAATGAGCCATATTATCTGCCATGTTCGAGGCCTTATTTTCCATGATCGTTATTAACTCACATAGCGCTATTCCAAGGTCCTGAATATCAAGTCTTTTGATACCATACTTCTGTTATAGATCAAAGTGTCAATGTGTTTCTTCTCATCCCAATTCTGCATGTGTAGCTAGTTGGTAAGTTTCTTAGACGGACCAGTGACACGCTTCAACCCGAAATCCGAACTCTCTAGGGCAAGTTGAAAATAAGCATATTTCGAAACTATCATTTCTGAATAGATCTCAGTTATGCATATGCATTTGGTTACTAGATCTCCTATTTAGTCATTTTATTCATCGACCACTTCTAGAATTCAACCAGAAAACCGGTCTTTTGGGCCATTCTTTTTCATGTAACGAAAAGGCATATTTTCAAACTATCAAAGATCTTGGATAAAATATTGAGTCAACCTTGCTCGCTTAAGATTGTGTAAGGACTGACAGTTGGATTATCTACAAGGAAATGTGTAAGCCTCACGATAGCATTGAATTTCACTTATCCTCTCATCCCGGTGGGTGACAGCCATGATTGTTAGGCAGAGTGGTTATAAGTTGCCAGTTGATACACACACTCAGATTTCTACTTTCGCTGAGGATGCTGATGAAACAGTGAGGCGGGGTCAAAACAGTACTACAGTTCACGTTGAATAAGAAAACAATTTTAGATGGGGGAGCTTGGCGAAATTCAATGACATGCTGATCCCTAATTATCTCATTGTGGGAACTCTAACCACCAGTCTTTAAATCAACTTAAGAGACTCAGCCTGACTAAAGTTGTCATTCTTTATCATGTGAAGAAAATTTGGGTTTAAAAAAATCACTTGTTTCATACTTGTTGAGCTTACTTCCATTTCGAGTGAAAGTATTTGGTGAAGAGATTCGAAGGTCGAAGCTGTTTCCAAGTCACCATGAATGTTGCAGTAAAGCCAATCGACAGCCGGTCAAGAGAAATCCGCAGTCCTCTTCTGGTGGAATCTTCCTACGAATCTCTTCTCCAAACACTTTCCCTCGAAATGAAAGTAAGCTCAGCAATTATTTATCATGTCCGAATTTCGTCATCTACCACGCCACAATTGACATCTCGATCCAACCATTCTAGTGCTCCACCAGTCTTTGGAAAATAGGGCCGAAGGTCCATACCATTATAATGCCGCCAGCATTAAAATAGTATTTTGTAGCAGCCTGATTTTGATAAATGGTTATAATTGTTGAGCTCACTTATATTTCTAATGAAAGTATGTGATGAAGAGATTTTAATGTCGATCCTACCGAAATACGACAGCGGATCCCTCTTGGCCAGCGTTAATGGAGCACTCTTGCTGACGCTGTCTGCGAGGTAATCTTTGTTGATTTCGTTGGAAATGTGCCAAGTTTTGGCCAATCACGCGTAAGCAATCGGCACAGGGTATCATTCTAACAACCATGTTCAAACTAACGACTTAAGCAAACTTCCCTAAATGGTGTGTATATATCACAAATCCAGGCAGTTTGATGTGTTATAAAGTGATTTGGTTCTTTCAAGCCATTAGCCAATCTAGAACCATGTGTGCGTAGCTGTTTGTATGTGATCATGTATATGTACGAGATGATAAGTAGGACAGAACATAACATCCGTTCTCACTCATCAACATTTAATGGTCACCCCTCATCACCCCAACTTTACTTTTTTTACAATCACTACGATTGCATAATCTTGACACAAATCTTGTTAATTTGCTGCCACATTTGTCTGTGCGTAGACTGATCGTGATTTGAAGCATCATATACCAAGTCTCATACAAATGTTTATGTTTATGGGATGTATACAGCATGTAGGGAAAAGACGGTGGGTTTGCATGACTCATTGGCTTGAATTTGATTTTTGAAATGGTACCCTGCTCTGATAATGTTTGTCATCTGACTGAAGAAAGCTTAGCGTCTTGTCGCAGGAACCGTAGAAGATCACCTAGGGCACAGCGTCAACCACAATGCTTCAGTATAGCCAACCGATAGATAGCCGATAAGGATCCTTCTTCGAATTTTTTGATCACGCACATTTTTACTCGAAATGAAAGTAAGCTCATCAATTATAAACCAAGAGGCTCTTAGAAACTAGACTTTTACTTGTATTCATTTTCATAGTTCTCTCTAAAGGTGAGTATATTTGAAATTTCCTTGCCTAATGCCTTGGACCCACACATATCTCGACCATTCGCCTATCCTTCTAGAGACAAGGCAAGATGACAACTATAGAATACTAGTAAGGATGACAGATGCTTTCCACAAACAAATATCTTTCTTAATTTTGCCTTTTAATATAAGTAATACTAATAATAGTAATGATAATATAGAGTTACTTCAGATTAATTTGGCACTCGGTTGATAAAAGCAGCCGTTTTTTCAGGAGTAATGTAATAGGGCAAAATCGAATTCTTTAAAATCATTAACTTTTAGGGAATACATTAAATTTTTCCCTAGTGTATTTTGTAATTCATTTAAATACATAAGTTTTAGCCCAGTAAACGTTAAGTTTATTTTTGGGCTTTAACTTTTTTTAATTATTTGAGCGAAGTTTAGCATAATTGAGGCAATTGTATAAGTGGCCCAATGTATGTCCCAATTAATAGCTACCATCTGTATTATTATTATTATTATAGATACGAAGAGAAACTTGGTTTCGATGAATCTCATGAGATAATATTGCTAGGGTGATCTTCATTTCGAAGGTAGGTGCATGAAGAAGAGATTCGTTGGTCTATCTCACCAGATGAGGACGGATGAAACTCGCTGTACTGCAGCCGTTTGGCTTTTAGACGATATTCATGTTGACGCAGTCCACGAGACTTCCTCCCTCGTTTCGGGTGAAAACGTGTTGAGCTTTCGTCCATCATTCGATGGAAATCATCAAATCTGGGTGTCATTCTTGTAAAAGTCTCACGTTAACACTAAAGCTCTATATTATTTCTTATATAGACTCAATCAAGTCAAAAAATTAGAAATTAAAAACCTAAATAGATCGATATAGAGTGGTTTGGTTAATTTTCTTTCATACTGGTTCTGTTATTTTTGCTCGATTGTATGAATATGTGTATTTGTGCGTGTTGGTGTCTATATGCAATACGGTTCCTAAATCAGAGTTGTCAAAGTTTTAATCTCAGGTCTTGATCCTCAAGACCTAATGACCCAAGAGAAAGCCTTGACTGAGACCGCGTAGGTCCGTAAACAAGTATGCTTGAGATAATGAGATATGAGCTTGTCAGCATGAAAATCAAGTTACGAAACCACATGCCCTAATCTTCCCGTCAAGGGTCATTAACGTTTAACCCTCCAAAAAAGGCAAGACTGGGGTTGCGCAATATGACATTTCTGGTTTGTTTGAAGAGCTTACTCTAACATTTTAGGCGAATATGAGTGAAATTAGAACCATCATTGAGCAGACAAATTGAATCGCCTTCTTTTTGTTTTTAATTCGACACTTTTGTTGTAGAGACGGTTAAGAATACAACCGGCATAAGCTGAGCTCCTGCCACCTTAAGAAAATTTCCATAAAAATTAACAAACAGCCAAGAAGTATCCTCTTTCGCGGTTTGGATAGCTCCATTCGTCAGGCACTTTCACTCGACGCAAAAGTTAAGTCAAAACTTATATACAATATTCTGCTGCCCTAGGCCGCTTAAGCTTATCCTAAACGTCAACATGGAGTTTTTCCCACATTGGCATGAGTAAGCCTCATGATGCCATTCCTTTTCATCAAAACTGTCTTTTTCGGCCTGGACTACAATGGCTGATACTGTTTGAGCTTACTCACGGGGACTTTAAGAAGCGCCGACGACTTCATTAGCTCGCAGACTCTAGATTCATCAGCACTCCCGCAACCATGTGGCGTGGGAAAGGCCTTGCTGGCCCTGTTGCCAGGATACACTCGAGTTATTGTCGACTCCTGCTCGGAAAGTTGATACAAGGCAGGAGGTCTAGTTGAGTCGAGTCGGGATCAGAAAACTCCTTCGGAGACTTCGCTGAATGGGTGAGCATAAGCGACTAGATTCCTGACCTCCGTACCGAGCGGCGGGTCGTCAGGGCAACCGTTTGTATGTGTCGACACTATCATGATCTGTTCAGTTTGAGAGAGCACTTGGCCGGTAGGGGATTTTAGTAACTGGCCTGACCGGACACCAAAGGTGAATTGTCTTGCAGTGAAGAGGATCTCGGCTCGCCGTTGTGTGAGCCCGAAACCCGTTTTAACAAATTAAAATAAGCGGTTTAGTACATCGGCATGCTTTCTCGTGGCGAGATGGACGGAAGCTGTACACGGCCGGAGGAGGGTGGGCAGACGTCTTTTCGGCATGACAATCCGCCTTTGGCGTACGGCGAGGCTAATCCTCACTCCATATCACATTAGCAACCAAATGTCGCCTCGACTGGGAGACACGAGCCAGACTAGACCGATGATGGCAAAAAGCGTCATCCATCAAGACCCATTCGTCTTGAGCCCCCGAGTCCAGCTCGCTCATAAACTCGAGGTCAATTCGGCTGCACTAGTGACGCCTTGAGGCGACTCCTGATTGGTTCGTTCTGCTCGACGCTGATTGGCAGGCTCGTCAGCTCGGCAGAGGGCGGCAATTGATCGACCAAATCCTCACTGTCTTAGCAGACCGGCTCGGCCTGGCCGCATGCAATAGGCTCGTGACATCGCCTCATTCGCGT